GAATCGGCTAGCGATAAGTGATTCGCGTACCGACGTTTTTGTTTAATACTCTTCGCTTGACGAACGGCCAAACGATTAAAAGACGGAAAGATAATTAATCGAACGTGCGATATATCGACACTTTTGTCGTGTTTGATCGAATATTTCGCGTTTGACGAATCAACGTACGATCGACAGATCGACGAAGAATTCGATCATCGATGAATTTACACTTCCGTCGATTACCGTGCCTTTGACGAATGGGCAAAAGTATGAAAATAAAAGATCGTAAGATTAATGTATCGGTATTTCTGCTGTTTCGTATTTTATGAATGAACAAAGCTTTCGTATATCGCGAAATAAGTTCGCGTATATCACGAAGTTAATGAATCGACATTTTCGTTGAATATTTCGTGCTCGATCAACAAACTGAAGATTGAAAAAAGAATGGATTCTTTGATACATCGACGTTTTCATTTATTTTTCACTTGACGGGGGAAAAATTTGAAAAAACCAAAAAATTTGTGGAATCGTTTAATCGATATTCTATAAAACTTCCATATTTTATTTTCCACTCGAGTCTTTCAAATAATTCTACATTATAAATCGATTTATTATGCTACGATTTCAGTCATTTATAGCACGACAGCAACGTTCAAAATGAATATGCATAAGCACGCTTCGCTGCTTGTAAAAGAAAATTGTTGCAGATAAGGACTACAAACTGTATTCGCGGTAATTTTTCCCGCCTTAATCGCAACACCGTGGCCGTATAATCGCCTTTTATTCTAATTTACTACATCGTAATACGGAAACAAACGGAAATGTTACAAATCTCGAAATAAAATTAAATAATTAATTGTACTGCTAAAAATAGAAAACAAACTTTAAACGCATAATCCGACGAATACGATGTAGCGAGTAGTAAATTTAAAAATTCAAAGAATGGTCGGTAATTAGCACCGCGTTTAAAAACTGCACGTGTTACGTCAAAAATTGAATAAGGCGTGCGAATCAAAATGAAAATGGTCGAGGAAGACCGAAGGTCCCCAAAAATTTCTCATTTTCCACATTACCGATAAATTTTCGTCTTATTCAACCGTGTTACGACATTCTTCTTACTTTCCTCGCCAAATAAACAGAGATAAATTCCGATCGACGAATGCGACGAGTAAAGACAACGCCATCCATCAAACGGCCGCGTTGTCGTTGGCTTCGGGTGAAATTTATATTTTTAGATTTCTAATCACCGATCGTTCGCTTATCCGTACGATCAACCGAACAACGATCGTCCATTTTTAATATCTTTATGACAAAATTAGTCGTTCTAGGAGTTTAAAAATAACGAAGGTTTATTTAAAAAATTTTTTATTTTTTGGATAGCCTCGTCCAAAAATTAATTTAAACGTGACGATAACATTAATGGACGGTATTTTCGTAAATGAAACATGCGTAGAACGAATGCAAAAATGCGTAGAAGAGTGTAGGATTTAAAAAAGTGACGGTTTTCAGATCGAGAATCTTCTAGTTTACAAACTGCGGCGATAAATATAAAATAAAATATTTTCCTATCTTTTCCCCTTTTCGAAAAAAGCTATTAGGTCGAAAGAATTTGTCAAGAAGGCAAGATTTTGTTAATAAAAGAACGAATTAGAAATGGTAAAACGACACGAAGAAGCGAATATCATACGAAGGTGATAACGTTCAAAGAACGCGTATTTTACGATTCTTCGTTGTAACGTTAATTTTCCGTTATCAATTCCTAACCATGACACGAGATGAAATGAGTGCAAAAGAAAAGATAAAGGCGAGCTTTTCCGTGTATCGTATATTTTATTTATGAAACAAGCAGACTCTCGCTCGTCAGGTGTACGAATGTTTTATTTATCAAAACGAATCTTCGATCTTTCGTTTTTGAGATAAAGTTATTTACTAGGTCAGAGTTCGAAGGAGATGACGATTTTACGATACCCTTGCTGAAAGAAGTCCTTTTACTGAAAATATCTTTCGCGATTATCGTTTCAGTACCAATAGCAAAGTGAATAAACTGCGTAAGTACTTTCGAGTTCGTCTCGCTGACATTTTCAAATAGATATACGTATTAAAAGGCATCCTATCGAAGTAAACGCTTCGAAATCATCCGAACGAAATAATTCTTCTCGAAATTAACGATAATTACTCTATAATAACCTACATTTTCTTCTTTTACTATAATTCTTTCTTCGTATGTTACGAGTTTAAGAAAATATTTTCCTGTTTTTTCTCAGTCTCGAGAGAGCTGGTTAAATTGCACAGTTTAGAAAGAATTTATCAAGGACGCAAAATTTATTATTCGCGAAACAATTTGATTGGAAAAATATAAAGTACCGCGACATTTCCTGATGAAAATGCTCTTATATTACTTTTTCATCGATGGTAAATTCTGGAAAAATAATATATTTGCGAATAACATCTCGTTCGATCTGCCAATTTTTCTTTTCTTGACATTTTTTAAACCACGAGTTGTTGTTACTCTAAGAAGAAGTTGACGAGAGCTTGGAAAAACGCAAAGTAAAACGTAAAGTAAACAATTTCCTAACGAATGCGCTCCTGTTCTACTTTTCTATTCGTCGTAAGTCCTTCAGGAATAAATATATTTGCGAATAATATCTTGTTCGATCTTCCAATTCTTCTTTTCTTGACGATTTTGAAATCGCGGCTGTTAAGTTTTCTTATTCAGCGAAATCGATTCGAAACACTCGAACGACGTCCCTCGTAAGCATTTCAAGGCATCTTCGTTATCGCGCTTTCAAACGAAACCAAGCAAGATCTCAATAACCGTGGCTGCATTTCAGGATTAAATTAGCATTAATGGTCGTGATTTAATTCAAGCATCGAGTATCGATCGAATCGTTTGTTGATAGAAATCGCGAGCTATTCCGTAAAGAGAAAAAAGGAGACATTTTACGGAGAGTAATTTCAGCGTGACAAATTAAAAACGATCAAAAGGGATGGACACTTGGACGAACTTTTTAATTCGATTATGATTTCGAATAAAAAATTAGTTATTAAATCGCGTTATGCGTAATTCGTTTCTGCTACAACGTAAGTTTGAAACGAAGTTTCTTCTCGAGTTGGAAAGAAAATGAATAAAAAGAGAGAAAGCGAAATTGATGCATCGAAAACGATTGGGCGTATGAATGGTGCAATTTTCAATGTCCAAGACAAGATGTTTTCGTATATTTCGCCTTTGAATAGGTGAAAATGAAGCGCAGGTGGATATTAAGGAATATGAACGAGATATAGCAGCGACCTGACTCGAAGGTTTTGCGACACTTTCGATATTATCTGTTGTACGTAAAATAGTAAGAGCGAAAAAGTGTTATCGGTTGAAACGAAATCTAAAAATAGAATTTAAAACAGATATTGATTGCGAAATATATAAAGCGTCGCGATTTCTTCGTAAAGTCGTCTACGCGTAAAAGAACGTTTACCATCCTTTCTTAAAAGATTCATAATTTTACTCATATATAGTAGTTTCTTAACAGGTACAACGTTATATAAATTTAATTAGACCTAAATTTACAACCCTTACGATAGAAATATTCTTTGGTATTTCTAGTTAAAATCGATTAACGAATCTTTTGCAAAATCTTTTTCTCTCTTTTTTCTTTTTTTGCATCAACTTACAAGCGACTCGTTGGTTGTTTCATTTTAATTAAACGGTATATAATCTTCAGTAACGTTCCTACGAGGACAACGACGTTGGACGAGCAAGGAAATTAGAAACAACGTTGGATTCATAGGAAATCTTCGGTCGAACGTGTTTGCCTAAAATTGCTGCGCTCGAGTTATTCGGTTACGTTTTAGCCGCGGTAGAACAGATAATTGTACAGCAGATATGCAAATTTCCAAGATTCTCATTCTCCGTCTACGAGCAAACGCTTTTGCTTTGAAGTAACTTCGCTTCGTACTTAACACTTTGATGATCACGCTATGCGAACACCGCCTTCTTATAGGTTCGTAAATTCCTGATCATCGTTCGTTCGTGTTAATGTTTTAAAAGTCACATTAAGCGCACGATACTAAGGTGTGATTTTATCCAGTGAATAAGAAATAGAAAGTTATGCAGAGAGATTTTATTATTTTCGTTTTTCAGCTTCCTGTTTTATTAATGCGGTTCTATATTTCGTAATTAATAGTTTCAATAGTTGAATTACTACAAGCTTGTTTCCTTATTAGAGTAATTAGAAATATTTACTTGGGAATTCACTTACAACACATATAATAATAGTTTGTTAGATATACATTTTATATATATATATATATTTCTTGTTAAATAAATAATTTGTTGTTCCTATAGTCCGAAGCATACGTTGCTTTGATCAATTTTTCAATACGTTTCAATTATCGTAGTCATATCGATATGCACTTGATGTTACGATGCTTTCTCTAACTCACATTCGATGGTTAATAACAACGTGGAAACAGACAATCTTTCCAATGAATAGAACATCGACAGAAACCATCTGTAATTTTAAAAGAAAGGACCAACGAATCACGCTGTTTTCAATTTTCAGAGGAACGACCAACAAATCGTAGCATTTCTAATTTTCAAATTAACGACCAGCGATTAAAAATGATCACCTTTTTCAGAATTTTAGGGAGCCACGAAGAATTTACCATTAAACCGTTAACTATCAACGGAAACTATTAACCATTGCCTATTACCAACATCCTCGGTCATAATAACTTATTTATTCAGAATTTTCTTATCTTTATATTTTTAACCTTTAAATTAAATATATACATTATAACCTTTCCACGAATTTTTTTTCTACCTCGATCCTTATTACCAATTTCCTTCGCCAACTTAAGCACCGAAGATTACATCCTAATCCTAAAATTAAAGCAGCCCTGATTAACGTACAAGCCAATTACCAGTTTAACGCAGGACGATCCATCCTGGACGACCTCCATCAAAATACTCCGCTCTTTATCTCTTCGTTTGTAATGACGCTCGGGAATTCGTTCTGTTTCAGGGGTACGAGGGGTCCCTGTTGAAAGTCACGAGCAAAAATGGGAAAACAGCGTCGGTGAGTCATTATTTTTTCAAATTACCAGCCGTATTTCATCCTTTGCCCATGTGGCGTGTGTGAAACAGTGAAAAAAAAAAGAAAAAGAAACGAGAACGAAAATAAAAAATAGAGCGTTATCGCGTGCTTTTAACGCGAACGATGGATCTGTTCTAGATTTCCATCCAGCTATTCTCCATACGCGTTTATCGAGGAAACGAACGAAAGGAAGAGAAGTGGATACATCGAGAGAAGGAGAAAAACGTTAGGAGGGTAAAATCGAGGTATTCCTTCGCGAATACACCGATTCCCTTTTACCTATTCGAGAGATTTTTCCATCGATCGATGGAACGGGTCGACAAAGTGTCGAGATTTTCGTGCGATTATTCGTTGGTGAGGAAACTGATGGGAAAACTTGCCGCGAGTACCGGAACTTTCAATCGAATTCTACCATCGAGAAAGTGGTTCGTCTGCTTTTGAGAAAAATTCGTCATTTTTTTCTTTCTTTTTTCCTTTTTCGACGATTTCTCTATCCTTTTGTTCGTTTTCGTCGATTCGGAAAGAAACGAAGACATTTTCGAGAATTCTCGTTTTATTCTTTTGCGACGTGTCTGCTATGTTTGAAAGATTTACGATGCGAGCTCTATGAGCTTTGTCAGTATTTTCCACCAGTACAGTTATTTAACTCCTATTGCGATTCACTTTGAGAGAAATAATGGTTTCCGAAAATGGAAAAATTTGCTTTTTATCGCACGATATTTTTACGATTACGACGAAGCGAAAATATTGCGTGAAAAAGATATGAGTAAAGATGAAAGCGAAAATATCGTATAAACTTCGACTCGTAAATATGAAAAATTATCGGAAACATCTACTCTATTGGAGTGTAAGATCTTTATTCGTTACTTATTAATCGGCACAACTTATCGAACATGCTGCTAAAGTTGTTGGATTTCCTCCTAAGGCGTCCTCGGCACAGCACAGATATAAAAATTTCAGATAAGAGAGATCAATAACGTCCTGTATAAAAGTAGTTATCGTAGACGCTCGACAAGAGAGGACAAACACTCGGCAAATGAAGGATTGCGGTAATCTCGTTCCAAACTCGGAAGCGAAGAACTCGGAAGAAGCGAAATAAAATAGTTTCTCGGTGAAATCACTGACCTACGAAACGTTAACCTATTAACAAAACGAATATCACATTGGCTTGGATATTTCTAATAATTTCTTCGCACAGAACATTACAAACATACGTTGCGAATATATTATTTTACGACACGTCATATCTAATACGTTAAAAATACAGCTAAAAATTGCTATATAGGTCACCTTTTGATCAAAGATTCGAATACATTCGAAAGGTTCCTCCCTTTTATTACGACAATCCGATACTTTCGTTTCGATAGCGATACGCGTATAGGCATTTTACGTTCCATTTATTCGTCGTGAAAAGATTATACGGGTGACGGAGCTATATTTTTCTTGAATGTATTATCGAACAGAAGCGTGGAATATCAGAATCTTTGGCGCACTTTTCGGTAATTAAATCGAGACAAAGCGAGATCCTGTAATAATGTCATCCAAACCGGAGAAGAAACATAGAGAGCTTTCGGTTAGGGCAGAAAAGATAATTTAACGATGTTCTCTCGAGACAAAACTGGCTCGCTTAAACGTGGTCATCCTCCTCCTTCTTTTACGTTCTTTATGCGATAACACGCGGATAGGTCGACGACGAACTGTGTTAAACACGATTTCACGACTCTAATAATGACACCACCATCAACCTGTCGCATTTCTTCTAGGATAATATTTCCATCTATAATGTTTAACGTATCGAGATGCGTTTAGACCAAACGTACGAGAACACTTAGTCAGTCGTATCGATATTCGAATAATATAACGCCATTCTGTGGTCTATCTGTATCTGTTGCTTCGTACAAGAGGGGGTGATTTAAATATCGTGTTACAAAAATATTACAAAATATAACATTTAATCGTACGATGAATTTTTAATAAAAATTTTCAGAATCCAAATTCAGTATACTTTAACTTTTAAATCCATCGTGCCGTTAATTTCGTAATTAATTAAATTGCAACTTTATTATCCGCCGTAACGCATTCGTACGACTTGAGAAGATGTAATCAACTTTCTGTAACAATAAATGCAAAACACGGAATTACGACATCTAACGGTGACTCGCATCGCCGTGATTCTTTGTACTCGATACGTGGACGCTTGTTCGCGCTCTGTAAATCTAGCAATTCTTAGAAACAATTCGAACTGCAAAATAGATTTATCTCGTATAATTAACGTCAGAGGAGATGAACGCCAATATTTTGAAAATACACCAAGAAATTCGACACGAAAAGGAAAGATTATACTAGCTTTGATAGAGGACAACTTGTAATTTTCCATAGAGAAAAGGGTAAAATTTATCGTGAAACTGCGCAATTATTAATATCAATGTTAATATCGAGATAAAATTGTAAGGAAAAAGCATGCAAATACGATACAACGGAATCTCCGGTATCTGAATCAACAGGGAGACAAAATTCGTTTTTAAAACTCGAACGAGAGAATTTTCGAATAATAGAAACCGCGTCTCTTCTTTACAGTTATTGTTCCATATCTCGATAACCAATATTACATCTTTTTTACCGGTGAATCAAATTTTATGAAAGCAAGGAACGGACGAGCATTGGCTCGCTTGGTCTGAACGCACCTTTATATCATCGATATAATGATTTATAATATAACAATACAACGATAGTAATATAACTCACTGTATCACGGGAAATTAATGGAAATTCGAGAGGTTCGTAGATCTGTTCAATGGAATATTCCGATGAATTCGCGGCAACGCAAACACAACCCGTGTTTTCCCTGTCGTTCGCGTTCTGCCTGATCTTTACTAATGTAAATGTTATTTTTCGATATTTTTGCTGTCGCCGATATAAAATATGTTATGGTGACGGTCGATGGTATTATTTATCGGAAATAATATGTGTCGATACCGTATCAGATCGGTGAAAAGAAAAAATTGCTTTTCTAAAATTTCAAATTAACGAGCTCGGAATTAAAACGATGCTTGTCGAATATTCTCATTTTTTTTTTTTTTTTTTTTTTTTAGATAACAAAATATCGTAGTCGGAGGAGAGATTCGTAACTTGATCGATTACCGACGCTATGGAAAGATCGTTCAAGACCTAACCTATTGCAATACGATCGTAAATAACGTCCAGTTGTGCATAAGCAGCTATGCTGCTTGGTGAATATTTTAAAAACGAAAAACTACGATCCATCGAACGAAGGTCGAAGGCGCTAAAGTATCTTTTCTTCCTTTCCCTTTCTTTTTTTTTTTTTTTTGTTTCTGTTTTCATGGTTTCCGAAAAAGAGAAAAATCTCGACAAGACTCGTTTCGCTATGAACCTTTCGATTAGCAGGCGAATATAGCTATTACAAATATCGACTAGGAACAGCGCTGATCGTACGATAATTAACACAAAATTCAACATCGCATTGTCCCTGCTAATGGTCTCTTATAAACGTTGACGAAACACGATAACGAGTACAATCAACGGAAAATTCAACGTTCCATTGTTACTGGCGATAAACTATTACAAATGTTAATTACAAATAATTATACGTTATAATCAAGAGAAAAATCAATATACCTAAGGAGGCCTCCGACAATTCTCCCTGACGTCTCACAACACGGTCTAACGACAAGCAACACTCCCTTGATATCAAGGACAATCCCACCTTTACTTTTTTACCAATAATCCACGTACCCTACTACTTTCCTACGCCCAAAGATATACTCGTACGATGGGTGACCTACGTCGTGAATGGTTTTCTCCGTGGGCCTGGTTCCTTTCCCCTGTCGACGCGTAATTTCACTTTTACGACTCGTTGTGAAAATTCCGACATACAGTGGCTGCGATAAGTATCGGCACATATTCTTATTTTCCAATGTATCTATTTCTTTATCAGCTTCTGCGTTTCATTTTCACGGTATCAAATTTTTATGATCGCATTGGCAATTGGCATCGCGAATTTACTAAAATTAACTCGCAGAATTTATCGACTCGCCATGTACGATGTTTTAAAGGAGTTACGCGTACGCGTAATTAATGTTTTATCGAAGGAAAACGATATATAGGGTAACTGTAACTGATATGGAACAGAGCTTTATATGGAACGCCGCGATATCTTGCCAAGTAACCGACAAAAAATCAATCAGCAAAGGTGCAGAATATTTCGTTAGAAGCAAAAAACAAAGTGCATTCAAATTTCGATCGAAAGTCGCTCTTTTTTTACATTTTTTACCCTGTCTTCGAGATACATAACGTTTTGCATAGTTAACTTCATTTGCAGTTAATTTCATCGAAAGGAAAGCATGTTTCCCTCTTTGGCAAACTTTTAAAATCAGATGTTTCGTGTTAGCTGCGATTACTCTACGTATCGATCTGATAACTAATACAGTGACTATACAAGTGACATTCCAATCGAGCGTCCTTTTATCGGGTTCCCTGATTCATTTTTTTTAACATCCAATGTTTCCGATCGCATTTTACGTTAAAGAAGCTTAAAAGGAAGAGGCAACAGGCTGCCAAACGATACGAAATTCAATATTCTTGGAGTTAATTAATCGGTCTGTAAAAATGCCATAATAGATGCAACGGTGTGCCGATATTTTTTCTAATCACTGTAAATCAGCGTCTATTTCGCAAATTTATTAACCTTGCAGCATCAACGACGTACACCGTATACTTGTTCTACGTTTTACCAAATCGAAAAGAAAACGAGCAGATAGAACGTTAGCGGAATTAACGAGCCACCGACGTTAACCAACCAGCGACAAAAAGAAACAAAGTCTAGAGCGTTACGTGAGTCACGTAACGATGGAAAACATCTAATCGATTCGGCTGCAAAAAAATACATCAATTTTATGCCTTCGCGGAAGGCATCGTGGCCGCCATGTTGGGTCAGATATACAACGTTCAACCGTGATAACATT